AATTTCGGGTTGGCGCTGGGCCCTCGGCCTTGTTTGGAAAATGGCAAATCAGATAGTATGGGGGTTCTGCTTGAAGAGGAAATGTGGACGAAAAGCAGGAGAACAGTAATATAATAAGGCTCATTGTCTGTCTTCGGGACCTTTTACAGAGTGGTTTTGTGAGGTGTGCCTTGCCCGCCCTGCTGCAGCCCTCAGCCCTTCCCCAGTGTGGTCAGAGGTCATCTGGCACATGGCGGGGGGGGGGGGGGGTGTCTTGCTTCTCACTCAGCCAACTATGTGGAGAACCGGGCCCCATCTTGCCATAGAGAGTTCTGCAGAGGTGAGAGAACAGTCCAGCCTTATTCCAGAACCGATTTCCTACTGCATTCTGTTCAGCTGACTTTCTGACCCCTGGGCTTGGGCCCTTTGTCCACCTCAGCCAGAGAGTTCTGGAAGCTCCTTCCACCCTTGGCTTGTCTCCTACATTGCCTCATTCCAGCCCTGATGACTCCTTCTCTGGACTTCCCTGGGACTGGGATGCTGTGTGTTCCCTAAACCCTGCATAGGGTCCTGCTCCCCAGGCCTGCCTGTACCAGCCTTGGGCACCTCCCCTGTACTTTGAGGGGCCCCCTCCATCTCTTGGCTTCTCTCTCTAGTCTGCAGGCTGCCTTTCCTGGTCAAATGTCATGGAATTGCAGATTGAAAAGGACCCTTAGTGTTCTCACATTCTCTCACCTCTGGCATTTTCTTTACAGCCTCCCTGACAGATGGCTCTCCACCAAAGTGCTTGTCACAAAGTGACTGCTTAGATGTCTCTAGGGATGGGAAACTCACTTCCCCCAAGGGCATCCCATGCCTTTGTTGGATAGCCCCAGGTATTAGAAAACGTTTCTTTCGGTGAGCTAAAATATCTTTCTTTATAATTCAAGTGCTAAGTCTAATTCTGCCTTTTGGAATGATGCAGAATGTCTGCTACTCCTGCCCTGAGTGCTCTCCTACCCCCCCCTCATCCTTTCTCCTGCTGCCCTGTGCCCAGTGCTGTCTGGCGTCCTCTTGCCCTCTGACTGACTGATGCTCAGCGGTGGCCTTTAGCGCCTCCCCCACCCCCCTGGTATCACCAGCCAGGGGGCCCTGGGCATCTTGTTACCCTGCAGAGGGGACTTGTTTCTGTGTGAAGTGAGCCCCAGACTGGACCTGAGAAAGGATGTGAGCCAAAATGAAAGGTTCTCAGAGACCCTGCCAACCAGGAGAGGAGAGAACAACCCCGCAGCCAGGGGCCTCTGCAACTTGAAAGATGATCAGGAGCAGGGGCGGCTGGACATGGCCAAGGCCTTCTTGGTTCTTGGTCTCAGGAGCTTCCGGGGGTGGGGGTGGGGGGAGGGAACCTGGAAATTGCCTTGTCAGCAAGCTAGCCTAAATATGGCCCAGATTTCAAGCCACTGACCTCGGGGTTGCCTGAATCTGGCCTCTTCTGAAGACCATGGTTCTGCCTCCCATTTCAGGGGGGCTTCATGGGGATCCGGGGGGGGGGTGAGAATCTCGGAGATCTTTGGTTGGGGACAGGATTGGAGGGTCTTCCCTCTCTCGTGATGGGTCTCACCGAGTGAGGTTTGAGGGGAGAATCACTGCCTCCTGGCTCAGGTTCTCAGCAGGTTAAAGATCAGCCTCAGGGCTGTGGCGTATGTCGGGGGTGTCCTCTGTGGGTGCCCTGCCACATTCTGCATCCTGTTGTCTCTAGATGGCAGAGGCGGGGCAGGATTCGAGATGGGGTTGGAGTGAAATTAGGTTTTCTCCTTGTCGCGCCCACCTCTCACTCCTTTGCACTGAGCAACTTCCCTGGGACTTTGAGCTTTAGGAAGTTCGACTCAAGTTGTTTCCGATACACTTAGTGAGGCTCTAGTATGTGCCCAGCACTGTGCTAGGGAACGTGTGTGGGGGGAGCCATATGTGAAAAGGAAGTCCCGCCCCAGACCTCTTGTAAATTCCTGAAAATCTTAGAAGCCTCACCTGCAGGAAACACCAGACTGCACAAGGCAGTCCTTGGTGAACTTGGAAATCATCGGCACAGACAACATAGCAGAACCAAGGAATGCAGGGGAGAAACCCCTAGGCCCGGGGGGCTAGGACATCAGGGAAGCCCCCAAGGAGGCCGTGGGCAGAGGGGCTGGAACTCTGGGCCTCAATTAAAACAGTTCTATTTTGTTTTTATTGAGGTGTAGTTGACATGAAACATTATATTTGTTTCAGGTATACGAAATAGTGATTTGATGTGTGTACATATTGTGAAATAATCACCCAAGTCTAGTTAATAGCCATCACCACGTATAATTACGACTTTTGTGATAAGAACTTTTAACATCTACTCTCTCAGTAACTTCACATATGCAATGCAGTGTTATTAATTATAGTTGCCATGCTGTACATCCCATGTCATGATTTCTTTACCTTATAACTGGGAGTTTGTACCTTTTTTAAAATTTTAATTTATTTTTTTTAAGTTTTTT